AATCACATTTCTGGGTATATATCCAAAGGATATAAAATCACTATCTAAAGAGATATCTGCACCTTCACGTTCTTTGCAGCATTATATACAGTAACCAAGATATGGAGACAACTTAAGTGTCCATCAATAGACAAATGGATAAATAACATGTTGTACATATATATAGTGAAATAGTAACACTGCCAAAAAAAAAAAAAAAAAAAAGAATGAAATCCTGCTGTGTGCTACAACATGAATGATCCTGCAGGGCAGTATGCTAAGTAAAATAAGCCAGACTAGAATGACAAACACTGCATGATCTCACTTATATGAAGATTATTTAAAAAAAAAGTCAAAATCATAGTAACAGAGAATACAGTGGTGTTTACCAGGAGCTGGGCTATGGTGGGGGGGAGAGGGAGATGTTTGTCAGAGGGTACAAACTTTCAGTTATAATATGAATAAGTTCTAGAGACCTGATGTATAGCATGATGACCAGTTAATAATAATGTACTATATACTTGAAATATGCTAAAAATAAGTTAAAAAGTGATGAACAAAAAAAACCAGAATTATATTCAGTTGTAACAAAAATAAATTTTACTTGTATATCAATTTTGATGACAAATGTGGAGGGTTTTGAGAGAAAATACCCACATGCTAAACCCTTGTCAAACATTACAGAGGATACAATTATGATTGTAACATGGCCATGAACAACTGTAAAATGTGGCAGGGGCCACAGACACAGAGATTCTAACCTGATGATTCCCAATGTGGTCAGAACAGAGGAAGTGTTTTCTGGTGAACATTTGAACTGAAACTTGGAGTATCAGTCTGGGAATCACTGTGCCTCGGGGTTCCCAGAAACTAAATAGAACTATCTACCTGATATTTACAAATTATTCATGCCAATAAAAATTCATGCTCATACACTTTGCTCACAAACATTAGATTTTTAGCACTCCCTCCTCTGACAGTGACTGTAATTTTACACACTCCAAAAAGGACCAAAATCCATGAAGGACTGAATTTGCCTGTGACCCATGCATCCAGCTGAATGCTCACAGCCACATGTTGGAGTGACGAGGTTGACCAGTTCACCCAGACTGTATCCCCACATCTCCCTTCCTCAGAAGCAGGAATAGGGATTCATTTAAGAATATACTTTGTGGGATTGAAGGGAAAAATCAAAACCTCTCCCACCTGATACTCTCAGGGACAAACTGGCTCTTTGAACTGAAGGAGTAGGAGCAGACTCCTTCTCCAGTCTGTGTGTTTATGTCTGTGTCCGGGGCTTTGTTCTGAGCTCTGTGAGGCTGTACCTGTAGTGGATTCACTCTGCACCTGCCCCCACTCCTTATCCTGCTATCGGTTCAAACCAACACCCATTTGAGCAGAGCAGGTGCTCAGATGAATAATGACAGCTTGCACATGTAGTACTTACTCTGTGACAAACACTGGACAATAATCCTAAAAAGTATTGTGCCATTATTATCAATCCCATTTTGCAGATGAGGGAACTGAAACAGAGAGAGGTTAAGTGATCTACCCAAGATCACACAGTTCATAAGTGGCAGAGCCAGGATTTGAACTGCATGGTCTGATTCAATTAGCCACGTTCTTAAGTTCTTAACCACAATATCACTACCACAATATCTGCATTATTGGGTTGGTAAAAGTGATGAATCCAATGGAACACCTTGAGGGCAGAACCAAAATAGTGTCCCTTTTGGGGTGGCCTAGAGTGCCTCACACTGGGTGGCCAGTTCTATAGGAACATTTCAGATGCTGAAGGAAGTTGGTAGGCCATTTGCTGAAACAAAAGCTGAAGAGGACACTTACGTGGGTCCAGGAATTAGCACAAAGCTCTAACATCAGGACTTGGGCTCATAAACTAGCTTCTGGCCAACCTTTCAGAAGAAAGTAAGGGCAAATGGACTTAGAGGGAAAATTCTGGGAATTAATTGCCCTTGGGCATCTCATCAGGAAATGAGGCAACCAGTTAGCTTGGGGACCAAAGGTCATTTTTCAGTAGGTATTTACTGCGGTTCCCTAGGTGCATAGACCACTGAGACCTTAGGAGGTGTGTGCATTATGGCTCCTGTCTTTGAGAAGCTCCTAGTGAGATGGGGAGATGCAAGTTCATCTTCTATGCAGGTGCCACCTCAGGCTGCTTCATTAGTGGGCTGTGGTTGGCCAGTCCCAGCCTGTGGAGGGCAGCTTGGCTCCCCCTACTGTGTGTCAGGCCAGCCATGACCTGCAGAGGAGCATCCTGGTGAGATGGCTTCTGGCTGGAGGAACAAACCCCCATTTTGGCTGAGGGCCAGCCCCTTGGCTTTGTGATTTTCTGACATAGAGTAAGTGCTGCAGTAAAGGGCATCAGAGGCCAGCTGAGCAGCAGGAGCATTTGTTCCTTATGGAGAACTGCCACTTCCACTGCCGTGCTCCTATGGAGCAATGAGCAAGTTCCAAGTAATTAAGTGGATTGGGTTCTCAAGCCACGGTGACTATCAGCTTGGACATCCTTGCTGAGAGCTCCTGGCAGGTCCCATCGGTGGCGTGGCAGCTAGAATAGCATTGTGGTGTGCCTCTGGCCTTGTGTCCACTTTGCCTTGAGGGGACTGATGAAGGAGGACACTCAATGTATTTGGAAGGTCTTGTATGTGGGGAGCTAATTACTCTTTTAAAATCAGCATTTACCACCAATCACAGCTTTCATGGTTCTGGGACTGTCATGGTAACTAAAGGCATATCTGAAAATAAAAATGTCACTTTCTTTTTTCATTTCTACTGTAATGACACAGGAAAATTGCTTTCCTTTTTAACTTAACAAGATAACTAGAAATGAGTAAAAAATATAGATGTGTGTGCAGCTTGTGTGGATAAGCAGGTGCCATGGTGTGTAGGGACACGAGTAGTATGTGTGTGTGAGGGTGTGTACTGGTGTTCACAATGACGGGGTTGGCATGTGCAGCTGTGTGAAGCTGTGTGGCTATGGAGTGAGTCCTCATTGTGTGTATGTCTGAGGATAGGGGCTGAATGTAGGTCTGAGAGCACACATAGGCTGTGAGTGAAGACTGGACTGAGAGCATGTGTGTGTATGTGGACAGTCCTGGGGTGTGTGTGTGTGTGTGCGCGCGTGCGCCTGAAGACAAATAGTGTTGGACGTGTATGTCTGAAGACAAGTGCTATTGCATGGATGTATTATACCTGTATTGTTTGGTAAGAAAAGGCTTCTGCCTTTCTACAGGGAGCCCCAATCACAGGAAATAGAGCCCCTTTCGGTGGGGGGATGGTCCAACTCCTTGCCATAACCAGAGATCTTATAAATCAGGAGAACCCAGACACCATCCGGCCCAGCCCTGAACTAGATAATGGGGGTTTCTGGTCAAGGCAGAAGTTACAGAGCACAGTTAGTTTGTGTATCTGTCACTCATTCATTCCAGTAACTGACATGTGTTACGCATAGAACTGAGCTTATATCCTTTGTCTGGGATGGGCCTGACAAATTTACAACCATAATTCACAACAATAATGACATTTACACACACCTCTGGAAGGCTTCATGCTTCCTAAAGCCATCTTCCGAGTCCCATCTCCTATGGGCTGGTTTCTACAGGAGAACACTTCCCAGGTGTGCAAATGTCCCTCCGGTCGGAATCAAGAGGCTGGAAGTTGAGCAGGGAGCTTCTTCCCAGTATGTGATGTGCAGAGGCTGAGCAGTGAGGGTGAAGCCTGCTTGTTGCTGGGAGAAGCCACTGACCACTGCAGTGTGCAGCCGTCCCCCCGGGGCCGGCATCCTCAGGCAAGGACTCCATCCACAATGACCAAGCCTCGCCCTTTTCATCATCAAAATTCTTCCAGTTAAATTCTGTACTTTACCTCTCTTGAGATTCTTTGTTTTGTTATTAATTTTTTCAACTTTAATAAAGAGAACCAACATTGATTAACCGTGAGTTAGAAAAAAGTGTTAATTGAGTAACAATTATTTTAAGGTCTGTCCCTGCCTGGGCCCAGATGATACAGCATGCATTTGAATTACTCTCTGCCTGGAGCTTTGCTCAGTGCAGTGGTGGGGAGAAAGAGGAACAGAAATCATATTCAATAACAGAAGCGGGCATGGAGGAGGGGTGCCTTAACTCAGTGAGGTGCTGTAGCCTGAGTAGATTCGTAAAGGACGGGTAGGGGTTAACCAGATGCTGGGGAGAGAGGGTGACATCCAAGGGGCCCAGAGACTTCCTACATGTGGGAAGCAAGTCCAGAATGGAGACTGGTAAAGGGATTCTAGTTCTGGATGCTCTGTGCTTTGTCTAAGGAAGTCAGGGTGACATTGCCTTGAGATCATGGTGACATCACAAGCTTGGGACGTTTGGCAAGAAGCATCTCCAAAAGACAGCTATCTCTAACTCTGTCCCCAACTTTGTTTCTGGAGCACTGTCGATGTCAACGGCAAGGAAACAAATTATGCTGGCAAGGAGCTGAGCTTTCTTGCAAGTTGCAATCACGTTGACTGCTATAGCTCCGCTTCGCTTATACTACAGCAAATCCCACGGGAGTGTGCATGGAAAAGTACCTGTAAATATTAAGGTTGGCTCCAAAGGCACATTATTGTTTTATTGTGTAATACCCTCTGGTGACATTGAAGCCTATTAATAACTAAACATCTACCACAACCGTAATTATATTTCTTGTGCCAAGATTGTGTTTCAACCATTGTCCTGTTTAAACATGGAAGGGAGGGTGTGAATTATTTAGGTAACTGACTTTGAGTAAATAACCAACCAGCACTGTGCAGGCAGTAAGTTTCTGTCACTCCTTGCAGAGTCTCATTGTCACCGCTGACGTTCCCTTGATGTGCTCACAAATCTCTCTGAAAACATCGCCCTGGACCCCTGATGCGGCTGCCCGAGCAACCTGGAGAGGGGAAGCCTGAGAATGAGGAAAAAGGGGGCAGAGGAGCCCCTGGAGGGGGAGAGGAGCCGCCGAGGAGCCAGGCCCCCGACTTCCCCACTTGGCAAGTCTTCTCCCCCCAATCCCCCAGGAGAAACGAGCTTTCTCAAGTGTTTGCTCAGGACTTGATTGTTTTCTGCCCTCAGGTAGGGGGTGGGGCAGGGGCTGGAGCCTTTGCTGCCGAGTGTTGGGGGGTGAGGACACCAATGGACAAGACGTCTGGGAGGAGTCCTGGGAGGACACATGTCTGAGCTGGATACAACGATTATGTGGGTGCGTGAGGGGATGGGTTTGGGAGCTGACTCTGTCAGGTACTGACTGCGTTGGGGTGATCCTCATTGTTAGAAAAACAGCCACGATGATCGTTTATAGAGTTGGACTCTGTGTCAGCATCGGAGCAGGGGTGCTGCATAGATAATTTCAATTAATCCTCCTAATAACCCGTTAAGGGGGTTATTAATGCCATTTTTACAGGAGAAAAGTGAGGCACACGTTAATCACCTTGATCCAGATCGCACGGGCAAAGGTAAACCCATGATTCCTACCGCGGATCTCTAAATCCAGAACTGATCTAAATCCAAATCGTAACCACTGGGAAACCCTGCCCCTCCTCACTTACAGGCCAGGAGGTCAGGGCAGGGGGAAGGGTTTCATGTTCCTGAACCCCAGGCTTCCCTGGCTTTGAGCCTGCTCTCTTTCTTCTCCTTGGAGACATTTAATGCTCTATAAACTCAAGAGGAATTTCGTTCTGGGTGGTTGTACAGAGAAGGAGATTTCGATCTGGGTGATGCTGCCATTAAGGGGTTGGTCTGTGCTGAGTCCTGTGAACAGGTGCGCTCTGAGCTGGTCTCCTTCAGGCTGTTGGAGTGGGATCACCAGCCCTCTCTGCCACCAACTCCTAATGATGGCCAAATGTGTTTATGGTGGGGGCCCTGAACTTAGGTTTAGGCTTATGGGGGAAAAAGAAAAGAGAGATATTTCTGATACTAGCTCCTGATTTTTATCAATTTCTCCCAGGAGCTGGGGGCTGGGCCCAGAATAGGATGTTATAAGAGTCTATCTAGAAACTTCTCCACTACAGCTCATTGTCTGGGAACTCAAAGGTGGAACCTGACGAGATCCCTGGCCCAGGGTGTGCTGACCTGCAGGGTGAGCCTTTCTCATCTACTCTGAAGAAAGGTCTGGAAGAGGGCGGCGCGAAGCTGGAGATGACATATGCAGGGGAGGCTCAGAGTGAGTCCTGCTCTGGAAGTTTGGACAGGGACCAGAGAAGCCTGGCCTGAGCCTCCTCATCTCAGCTCACACCTTCCAAGAGCGGAGCCCTAATCGGAGGCATGGTCTAGTTCAGGGGCAAAATTCCTGATTGGCCCGTCCTCAGGCTGGGATAAGTGCTCGCGTCTGGGCACCAGTCCTGGGAAGGGGGGCATGTTGAGGAAAAGAGGTGAGGGCCGGGGATGAGAAATGGATGTGCATATCCTTCGGGGGCTGTAAGCAAATGACAGACATGGCTGCTATTACAGAGGAAAAGGACAATTTCCTGCCTTAGTGAACGTGAAGGTGTCATCCAGCAAACAGACCAAGAAGTCTGATAGAGTCGGAAAGACCCCTTTTACTCAGTACACTCCCAAATTAAAAAATATTTTTCCATTTGTTCCTGCAACTTTGGGATTTAGAGTTTGGGGGCCAGACCTGTGACGGGCATGAATTAGGCAATTTAATTTCACCTGACTCTGGAAGTAGCAGTATCCTGTGTGGAATGAACCACCTTTTTCCAAACCATCAACTTCTCCGTGAGGCATTAACTCTTTTTGGGCCTAAGGCTGAAGGTCTCTAGGGCCCCTGGCTTGTTCCCATTCGCACCCATGCCCACATATAAACACACGTAACACTTTTGCTTACTCCTTTCTTGGGCACACACACTTACACATTCCTGAAACTTCTTGGTGCAGTGGGCAAGCAGATGCAGCTAAAACGGAGAGGGATGAAATGGGGCCATGAAAGGGAGTCCTGTTGCCATGGTCTCAGCCCTGGGGATTGGATAGGAGGGGAAGGCAATACAGCCCACCTGGAACAGATTCCCACATCTGTTTCCAGCAGCGGGGTCTCTCACAGTACAGGGCCTCGCTGTCCTTCCAGTCCCTTGGCTGACCTCCTTCAGATAAAGCATAGGCTGGGTATTGGGACTATCTACAGAGCATCGGGGGCCTCCTCACCTCTCAAGCCCTCTGAGCAGTTGCCCAGGTGGCTGTGCCTTGTGTCGGCAGAGTAGGCAACATTATAAAGTAGGGAGGAATCTCCTCCGTGTTTCCCACCTTCCCACTCCACATCAGTTTCACACTTCCTGGTACCATTTTTGTTGAGAGTAACAGAAGTCTGGTAGAGCTCTTCTAAATAAAAAGAGAAACATGCCAGAAAGACTTCAGTCAGGGGTTGGGGGAGGCGTCTCACAGAATGCAAGCCCTCAGGGGTGGCTAAACTGAGGGCCTAGAGGGATTTTGAAAACCAAATAAAGCTGCTTCTTTCGGCCTGTCCTCACCTCTCTGGTTTCTCTGACCATGTATGTGGAAGTTATTCCTGTCAAAAGCTTCCAATTTGAAATCTAGCCTCAACTGGGAATTGGTACGGTCTCAATTTTAAATTCCCTACGAACAGGCTCATTGCTGCCCACTCCTGATCAAATAAGGAGCGTCCAGGGAGGAAGGTCAGAGATTATGAACATGGCTGCTCCCACTAAAATTATGGGGATGGACGAGGCGGAGAGGCCGTGACCAGAGTGGTGGGACGTTAGTTCACCCCAGTTCTTGAGGTCCTGGTTTTGTGTCTCAGTCTTGAAGTTGGTTGGCTCTCCATTAGGTGCTGATAAGGTGCTTGCTACTAATGCTTTAAGTTGCAGTCTTTAAAAAAGAAGGTCCCACGAGACCAAAGGAAGTAAAATATCCCTGGTGGAACACACACAGCGGGGTAGCTAAAGTTGGCCGTGGACACTGCAGTGGAGTGTGGAGGGAGACCTTTCACAGAGGGCAGGAATGGAAAAACAAGCCTTCCTCCCCATGCGCTCTCCTCCTTCTTGTCAGCCCAGAGGATTGCAGAATCCCCAGACTCCATTCCTATGTCTTTGCCACATGTGGCCAGGCTGTCTCTTGATGTGTTTGGAGTGGATGGCCTGTAAATGGAGAACTCTTCCTCTACTCCTTCGTTGCCTCAAGAGTCTTGCAAAGGCACACAGCAGTGAAGCTCTGACTTGTCTTGGGCCTGCCAGGGTGCTGGCTCCTCAATCAGGTGGCCTGAAAGGATGGTTTCCCCCTCCTCCCCAGACTATGAGATCTGGAGCTCTTTGGGTCAAGTATGGAGCTGACTTATGGATGGTCAGTAGGCCCACGAGGCCAGCGAGAAGAATGTTCCCAGAGGACAGAGGCATTCCCAGGTGGCTTAATAAACTACAGCTAAGGAAACAATCCTACTACTGTGGTGCTGCTCCAACTAAATCCAAAGGAAGACTTTTCTAATATGGGAAGAAATGGATGTGCACTATTGATATAGGAGCTAAGAATAGCTCATGTTCCAAACAAAGTGTTTTTTAGTATTTTGAAATAAAAACGTGTAGACAAAGCAAGGAATTAGAATGTATGACTCATTAAATTGCCGTCTCTGAAAGCAATAGAAATTCAAAAGAAAAATTTCTCCCCCTATTTCTTCCTCCCACCCCTTTTCTGAATAGCTTATAAAAAAGAGTCTCTACATAAACAAGACCCATAAACCCCTGCATGATTTAAGATCCAGCACGGTGAGAGGCAGAAGGAACCCAACCTTTACTGTCTTGTTATTAAGCTGGCCTCCCCAGCTAGACTGGAGTCATTGACCAGAGCCCCCATGGCCTTCCCATCTTCATTTCTCCTTCTCCTGTCTCTCTGTCCTGTCCCTGCAGGTATCCAGGAAATTCCATGGACCCACTGTGGCCACTGCTCCTCCCTCCCTCCCTCCCTCCCCAGTCCCTGTCTCTGCTAGACCTCGGTAGACTCAACTCATCAGCCTTAATGAGGATGTTTCATAAACAAGCATCAGATCTAGGGGCTGGCCATGTCTTAAGGGAGAGTGCACACTATATGTATTGCAGCAGAATGCAGCCGTGGGCACCTACATCAACACACTGGGTGGTCTTGAGTGCTTTTGTGTGTTGAATAGATGGGTTGGGCCTCATCAGTGATGTTCAATGTTTTGGGGGTTTTTTGCTCTCAAAAATATTTCTAAAATAAGTCTTATGGGGAATCTAGTACTTGCAACAAAAAAGAGAGAACCCATTCTGGTTGGAGCAAGGGGTGTGTGTGTGTGTGTGTGTGTGTGTGTGTGTGTGTGTGTGTGTTTGAGAGAGAGGAAAAGAGTGAGGGAGAGGGAAGAGAGACAGACAGACAGACAATGAGGAGGTTCTCCAGGACTCCAGAGAGGAACTGCAAGATGTTTCACTCGAAGAAACTATAGGTCGACCCTCATAGATTGATTCCTTCCTGCCTCTGAACTCTCCTTGCTGTCATCTGCTTTCCTACTGATCAATCCCACACTCCTTGAGTACTTCAGCAGCCTGTTCAGTCTTATATCTGCTCCAAGTCTTGATGTCATATGGGAAAGCTGAGATGACCATGCGGATGACCAGGCAGCGTTTTCACCTCACATTGCCTCAACTCTGTGACTTTCTTCTTAACTTTCTTTCCCATGGCCTCCACCTTGCTCTTGTTACTCTCTAGAATACCCCACCTCTGAGACCTCACACTGCAATACTCCTCTCCTTGACAACCTCTACAGCTGTTTACCATTGCTAGTCCTACTTTAGGATGAGTAGCATATTGAGAAAAAATCCTATACAAATATGAGACATGGATAGTTGGCCCTACAGGCTCAGCCTTCAACTCCAAAAGGCCTTCAATGTGGCTCAGCAGTTCTTTTAGTGGTCAGGTCTCCTCTCCATTCTCTACCATGACTATTTCGACCCCATCCATTCTTCTAAAGATGATGGCAGTTCCTCATTCACATAAAAGACAAGGGTCCCAGGAAGAAAATTCTTCAACGTCCTGCCCACCATCTCTGTCACCTTCTCTTCATTCATGTCCCTCTTGACCTCTCCCTGGCCATCACTGTGGGGGACTGGGCCCTC